CCCCTGTTAACAAGACTATAATTCAAATTAATTATTTAGGGATCATGCATGTTTTATTATTCACTAGCACAGTGCTTAGTACATAGTAGGAAATAAAACGATGAATAGATGGGACATGAACACTGAAGAAATTTATATATTTAGACACTATATAAACCATAACATATGGTCTAAATAGAATATCTATATTAATCTACAAAGACAACTGCTAAGTAACGATGCCTCACATTTTTTCAGTGTCAATAATCTTAGAGATTTTTTAAAAAATATTTTGCTTTTTCTGTTAATCATATACAATAAAAAACAATGTAAAAGATTCTTCATTTTATGAATCTTCTGCCAGCACAGGGATCAAAACTACTCCATTAAAATAAGATATGGAAGGAAAGGAAGGTGAGGGAGATGGAGGAGGGAAGAGAGGGAGGGAAGAGGGAAGGAGAAGCCATATAAAAATAACTGCTTCTAAAATATTAGTAATAAAATAACTTCAAAAAAATCATTTTAAAAGCTTCAAAGGTCTTATTTTTCAGAGATATATAGAATTGTACTAGATTATAATTGTATATAGCAATATATATGACATTATTATATTTACATAATATATAGTAGCACAGTTTAATCACAAACACTGTAATAACCTAGTTAAATGCAAGGATTAAAAACAGTTGAGTTTTACATGTTACAAAATTGTAAATGGAGACATTTTGAGAGCTAAACGACAAGGATGACACTTTACTAGGCAAAAAAGGATAAGGGTATTCCAGCAGAGTGAACACTAAGTGTCAGGGCCTTAAAGCACGAAGAACCGAAGAACCATGACACTGAAGAACTAAAGGCAGGCCAGGGAGGCTAGAACACCCTGAGGGAAGAAGAGTAGGGTGGGGACAGGCAGGATTTTAGGTTTCATACTAAAAGCAATGGAAACATGAACTGAAAAGATCAAAATCACTGAACACTAAAGCACAGAGCCGATACAAATTTGAAAATTTTTTTTAGAATTTCAAAAACTAATGTTGCCCTGTGTCTCTCTTGAAACATCCTAGAAGTTTGCCATAAATTGACCAATATTTCCATCACACTTCATTTTTTAAAAACAGAATAATATATGGACTGCTGCAAAAAGAAAATATAAAGTGTGTGCAGAGAAGAGTTAACATAGCATGCCTGACTGGTATTCTTTCGAAGGCCTGCTTATAAGGCTGGCCCTTGCCTGGATTTCAGGAGGGTGCCTGCCATTCCCAGAACGAGTAAGAGTGGCTCGCTATGCCTAAACTGGCCGTACAAATAATATGGTTTATGCTGAACACTTGCTTTCTTTCTGGGACTCTAGAATTTTCCTACATGCTGCCAGGCAGAAGCTGCCTATTTGGCCAGCCCCCAATAAAAACCTTGGTTGCTGAGTCTCTAATGAGAGGCCCTGGTAACATCTCAAATGTGCTCTAACAACTCCTTGCTGGGGAATTGAGTTGTCTCGTATGACTCCACTAAGAGAGGAGGAAGCCTGTGTTTTGTCTCCTCTGGACTTAGCCTCACCAGAGCACCTTTTCCCTTTGCTGCTTTCACTCTGTATCCTTTAGCTGTAACAAATGACAGCTATGAGTCCTCCTAAATAATTATGGAACCTGGTGATGCTATTGGGAACCCTGACACACCATCAAATTATATATGGAGTCACTGAAAGGTTTAGTTTCATTATAAAATTAGAACTCCATTCTTCTAATTTTTAATAAAGTATAAAACAGAAAAGTAGTGTCTACTACATAATGAGAATACCAGCATTTACCCAGTAGTACCCTGGCATTTAGGTTGGTAAGTCTGATTTAATTATGCATCAACATATACCTAGCAGTCACATTTAAAAATATGTCAAATGTTCCTAATATTCTTTTTTATGAAACAAGAACACTTTTCCTGAATAGCCATTGTGCTAAATTTGGGTATTATATAACATACCATTAATGCATCCAGCATAAAAAGGCAAAAAAATTTTATAAACTCTCAAGTAGAAACAGAAAAAAAAAAAAACCCAAAACATGAGATACCTACCAGTTTCATGTGAACACGTGCTAAGTCATTATGAACTAATAACAAGCTTAGAGTGCAGCTATGTTCGTAAACGTCTGAAGATCAAAACCACCCATTACTGTTAAATATCTTTTTACTTTAGACTCGGGCATTTATAATGCCTCATGCTACTGTGAAAATGATACTGGTCACCATTACAAACTTGATTTTAAAAGCCGTTTTACAGAGGAAGGAGACTGGGTATTAATTTGGACCCTTTTCAGGCTGTTTTTGAATTAATAAGCACTTCCTCACTTAGCTGAGCATTTCTGGCTTACTGATGAAATGAACTGAATATTCCATGGAATTTAAAATAGGCTGCTGAATGTCACTTCAAGAACTATTAGCATTGCTGCAAATATGTTCAGAAACATAGCAGATAGTAATGAGACAAGACACATCGCTGTAAGAAAGCAAATTAATTTAGTGACAGCTTATTGAACTTCCACGTGATAATCTCTGGGTACACCTGCTTTTGTGATTATGAACTGAATGTATATTTTGAGCAATATAAAAATATTTTGAAGTTACCAGCATTTTCATAAAGCAGCATACTACTAAAGTAGTATTTCTTTGAAATTATAGTGTTGGGATCTTCAAGTATCTTTACTTCTCAGAAGTGTATTTGTATGTAAAAATAGTTTTTATTTTGTGTCACAATGTGCTATAAAAATGATGCTTCCAGTAAACCGATAAAGAAGTTACAAGGACCCATTCCAAGAAGTTCTTGAATTTGCTTCAGGTGTGGGGTAACCAACTAAGGTAACCAAATACACTCTTTTAGGGATTATCTTAAGTACGGAAACAGTTAACTTTGGCATTCTTAACCCAGTCTTTCATCCTCCTATTAAACAAACAAGGACGCCTGCGTGGGCCTGCGTGGTTCAGGCCCTTAAGCAGTTAAGCATCTGCCTTGGGCTCAGGTCATGGTCCCAGGGTCCTGGGATCCAGCCCCACATCGGGCTCCCTGCTCAGTGGGGAGCCTGCTTCTCCCTCTGCCTGCCGCTCCCCCGTTTGTGTACACGCCCTCTCTCTCTCTCTCTGGCAAATAAAATCTTTTAAACAAAAAAATAAATAACAACCTTAAACATCTCTGTATCTTCAGTGGAAGACAAAGGCTAAGCTATTAAGAATGTTCTTTTTTTTTTTAAAGATTTTATTTATTTATTCATGAGACAGAGAGACAGAGAGAGAGAGAGAGAGAGAGAGAGAGAGAGAGAGAGAGAGAGAAGCAGGCTCCCAAGGAGCAGGGAACCCGATGCGGGACTCAGATCCCGCATAATAATAATAATAAATACTTAATAATAAAACTTTTCACAACTGGTCTGAACCTAACCCACCTTCCTCTCCGTTCATCTCTCCCAGAAGCCCCCACACTCCTGCCACATTAAACTACTGGCCTCTCCCCACGAAGCTCACTCTTCCATGCTCCCCGCGTATCCCCTGCCGCTCCCCGTCAGCCAGCTTCTTCCTGCCCGCTTTGCATCTGCAGCTGTACTCCCGCTTATTTTTCAAGCTCCAGCTTAACTGTCTCCCCCTCTGAGGTATCTTTTCCAATGCTTCTAGGCGAAGTGAATTACTCCTTTCCTCAGGTTCCATGATGCTTTTTATTTAACTGTTACATATGTCCTCAGCAGCTAGCAGACTACCCTGCATATACATGTTCAATAAATACACTTACACTTACGTGAGCTTGACCAAGACACAGAGGCATCCAAAACCAGCAGATAATGAGATACTCTTATTTCTTAAATCAATACAGATAAATTTTTGAAAACATGATTTAGCTACCAGGAATACTTTAGTTCTTCATAAATCTCACCGACTGGCAATTTCAAGATACGATGTTTTACAACTTATAACCATCCGAGGTTTCCCTTGCACTCATGAAGACTTTAATCTATCCTTTTTTAAAATCTTTTTTTTAAAACTAAGTTATCTTTCAATTCTGTACTATAGTCTCATTTTTACTCTAAGATCAGTGACCCTCTCTCCTTTATATCACTTCAACTGTGGAGCTTCAATTAATTTAAGCCTAATTATTATTTTTTTTCAAAGATTTTATTTATTTGACAGAGACAGACACAGCGAGAGAGGGAACACAAGCAGGGGGAGTGGGAGAGGGAGAAGCAGGTCTCCCGCTGAGCAGGGAGCCCGATGTGGGGCTCAATCCCAGGACCCTGGGATCCTGACTAAGCCAAAGGCAGACGCTTAACGACTGAGCCACCCAGGCGCCCCAATTTAAGCCTAATTAAATGGAACCTTTAATTAGTTGCATTCACCCCATATGCTCTCTTTTTTAGAAAGAAGTAAACAAGAGAAAAAAAGATCTGAAAAAATGTCAAAGTTCTAAAGCAAATACTAAGTATAATCTCCTACATCTTCAGAATTTGTAATACCATAAAAGAGGATTTCCTAGTGTACTTTGGAAAACATTAACCTTTATAAATCGTTTTTTAATAACGCAGGGTCAAAGAAAAAGTATCTGCTATAATATTTGGCATTCCACTGTAATTCATGTCATCTGAAATTAAAGGAAGTCTAATCACATTTCCTAATAAGAACTTTAAACCTTTATATCTTAGTGAGAAGAATATAAGATTAGAGTCACAAGTTTCATTTTCTCATAGGACAAATTTAAGTCTAAATATACAAAATGAACTTTTAAAAATACTTGATCATAAAAAAGTAAATCATGTCCTTAACCTCAGAGGAAAAAAATATACTAAATGCTGGTTCTTTAGGAAGGCAAACCATTATCACTAAACTTAACTCTTCATGAGAAGGTACGTGGGGTCCTTAAATCATGTATTAGAAATTACTTTTAGAATCATTGAAGTCTTGCCAAATGTTCATTTTCCAATGAGCAAATGAGTCAGCTACTCCCCCAGTGCCTATGCCAGGACAGTGTTAGAAACCAATTAAAGGGCAGATACCTTTATCAGAGTATGTGTGTTCTAATGCATGAAGATCAGGCAATAGATGAATACAGTTTATGCAGCAGTAGGTGAAGAAATCAAGGATGACTACTTTTCCACACAGATCCTTGTAGACAGAAATAGGCTCTTCTGTGTTCAGCCATTCTAATCCTGAAATTTACACAAAATAGATTATCATGATTAAAGGAAAAGGCAGAGATAATTTATCTAAAATTTTCCATTAAAATGTAAACCATTATTATTTCTAAGGAAGGGATGAGGGGGTGGGGTAAGATGGGAAAGATGCTATTATGCAGCAGTATGCAAATATAGTAAGAAAAAGCTACTAAATTCTTTCAGAAATAGAATAGTCTGTGTGAAAGAAAGCAAGACCAACACATTTAGGTAAAAACGAGAGTAAATATCAAATATTAAGAGGACCTAAGTACACAATCAGGTTCAAATGAGCTTTTGAGAACGAAGCAATCTTAAGAATAGCAAGACAGGACTAAATTCAAAATGGAGCAAGGTGTTAAAATATAAACATACAAAATGCCTAAGCCAATTTCATAAGAACTAAAGTGCTCTGGATTTGAATGAGACCTTAAAGACAAAATATTTTAAGTACAAAGTTAAGCAAAATACACTTATAGATTTCATGGAAGCAACATTAATATTGATGAAGTGTTCCCTTCCCTCCAAAGAAAAATGGAATCTCATTAATCTGTACTTTTATAAATCAGAATTTATAATTACTTGAGCATGACTTACAAAGCATGACTTACAATTTTAACTATGCACTATAAAGACTTTGTTAAATATTAAAAGTACAGCATCTCTACTTAACCAGTTTAGAAAAACAAAGATAATGAGTTTATTGTTTATAAGTAAATGCAGCCACTAACACTATTAATTACATCTCGAAGCAGGTATTTAGAAATATTTTATAGAAGCTGAAAGCCAAAGTTGGGTGGAATTAAGTGAATAACAACAGCTAATGACTAATAACAGTAACTGGAGTTAATTAAAATTCTAAAAAACAAATAATCTGCAAATCAAACTAGCCTTTTCGCCTTAGTTAGTCCAACCTAGTGAGGTTTTAGGGTAGAAGCAGCTCTTAATGATGGATTTTAATAAAGTGTTAATTGTATACCAGATCAAATAAACATATAAAACTTCAAACTTATGTATGTTTCACATCTTAATTGCAAAATATTTATGAATCGGTCTTTTAAATTTATTTTCTGTAAATAGTCAAGAGTGACTTAGATTGGAGGGTAAAGAAAGTACTAGTACACGTCAGTTATTGTGCTTACCAGGCTTAATAATAAATTTTACAATAACAATAATTACAATGAATATAATTTAAAAAAACTGTCAACATTTATTGAGCTGTCCTATGAACTAAGAACTTTAGATATATTACCTCTAATCCACATAATTAACCTGAAAGCTAAATACTGGTTTTATTTTGTGAGGGAGTAAAGTAAGGCTTGGAGAAATCAAGTAACTTGCTCAAAATGATGCAATTAACAAATGAAATAACTCGGATTTAATCCCAAATCTGTCTGAATCCATCCGTTCCACCACAGTTTCCCATAAACACATCTCTTTTAAGAAATGAACAAAGCATGCTGTTTCTGAGATAAGTTATGTTTATGACTTCTTGATTATAGCTTACTGATAAAGAAACCAAGAAAACCTGTCATCTAGTATTCTGAGCTCAATAATCTGATCCCGCAGAAAATTTGACTAGGTCACATATGAAGCCTGAATATTTTGTTATTTATGAGTCACTAAGGTCAAATCTCATGGTAATAAAATATACCCACTGTAAATATAAACATGACTAGAAAATAAAAACACGGGCCCAAAACGTAGCTGGTGGCCTGCTTGTTTATAACACTATACTATGTAACTACTTACAAAGTTTTTTAAAAATATACGTATCTAATCTCTTGAAGTTCTTTTGATGGGAGAAGCAGTCATGAACCCAATTCTTCCCTAATAACTCCACAATATTTCAAATTCAGCAGAGGATTAGTAACGGAAAAAAAAATAAGCATTTTTGAAGGTGGGAGCAAAAGGCTTGAAAAGACACATAAGACTCTTGTCAAAGGCAAGGTTCTGATGTATCTCCCATGAGATACTGAACCCTGCCATACCCAACCAATTAACTATACATGTGGTTTCAGTGTCACGCCAGGAGACATGCCAACACCAACAAAACAATGCCAGTCCCAACCAAAGAAGGGAAAGTACGGTTTCATTTATCACAGCAAGATGTGCTTCCCAAATAGCACTACTGGGAATATCTGTTCCCCGGTGTTCCAAACACTCACAGAGCTGGGATTTAAACCCTGGAGATGGGCCGTAATTGATTGATTTTAAAAATTACAAATTTCAAGCCTTTGAACACCTAAGTGTGGCACAGCTAAGATACTTGCCAATCTGGAGTCTGCATAATCCGGCTCTGGCAGTTATTAGTTGTGAAGCGTTGAGGAAATTACTTAGCCTTCTTGTGCCTCAGTTTCCTCAACTATAAAACAGGTCTTTAAGCGGTCTCAACGAGTTGTAGGATTAACTAAAATAGTCCCCTGACGTGTTTACGACTGTGTGTGGCACAGAAGTGATCAATAAATGTTAGCATTATGCGCAGTGGATGACAATGACGATGCCGGGCAACCAGACTGAAAGGACAGGGTGGCATGGACACTTCAATCCTTGCCAACCGGGGCCACTAAACATTCATGGAATGTCTACTTAGTTAACACTAGGCCCCGGCAGGGACTCGAGATACAGAGGCGAAAGTGCACGTCCCCGCGCTCCAGGAAACCACCCTTTTCCGCCGCTTGGGGACCCAGGGAAGCCGCAGAGCTGGCGAACCGCCCGGGCGCGGTCGCACAACCCCGCCTCGCCCCCCGCTTCAGGGGAGGGCGTCGTCCCCGAGGAAGGGGAGGTTCCGGGAGGGGTCCCCACGCCGAAGCCTGCCCCTCACCTTCCGGAAACTCGGGCACTGACAAGTCCTGCTCCCAGCCGTCCACCTTCTGTAGATACTGGTAGACCAGGCTGTCCTTCTCCTCCTGGGTGACGGCGTCGAGCAGGGCGTACTCCAGCGAGGTCTGCGCGGGGAGCAGACCCGCGAGGCTGCAGCCCCGGGCTCCGGGGGCCGCCATGTTCTCTCCGGACAGGCCAGAGGCGGCCGCCGGGCCCGCGGGAGGGTCTCGAATGGGGAGAGAGGAAGCGTTTACTGTCCTTTAGTTTCAAAACGGCACATTCACCTCACTCTCCACCAGCCCCCACTCCATGTAAACGACACCTTTTTCCTTTGTAATCATGCATTCCAATGCTAAGATACAAACTGTTGAATTCCCGGGCCCGTAATTTAGCCGCCCGCCCAAACCACCCCGCCCCTTCCAGAGCGTCCCGGCGCAACTGAGCCTGGACATTCACAGCGCCAGATTCAGCATGGGGAAAGTCTCTGGGTTCGCGTTCCTGAAGCTCTGAGAACCATCCCCCCCCCCAACACTTCACTTTGGAAATTAGCGGGTTTTAGAACAAAAATAAGATAAAATAAAATAAATCGGTAGGACCTAAAAGGATACAAACTTTTTCAAAGTCCCGCCCATAGACCAGCGTCAGCCGATTCGACACAGCGCTGGCCAGAGGAAGCTGTTCCCGCCAAGACACCAGAGGTAAAGCGGGTAGGGATACCCTCATGGGATAGGTTTTTTTTTTTTAAGTCGGGAATGACTGGCAATGGCTTTGGCTTGTACACAAATACAGTATTTTGTCGCCCCGCAGTGCTGAAAGTGCGAGCGCGAACAGATTGTCAGCGGAGCAGGGGAGGGGGGAGCCGAGGGGAGCGGACGCAGCTGGAGCTACTCCGGAGGGTGTGCGGGTGGCAGGTGGGCTGCGGCGAGGATCCGGGTGGGCTGGGCCTCCGACTTCGGAAGCGGAGGGCTCTGATAGCTTTTATGGAACCGGCTGTGCTCGCAGCTCACTCTCTCCCTGCCCTGGAAGGGATAAGGCCCGACTCAGTGGCCTTGCAGCCTCCTGAGTTCAAAGAGAAGGCAGAGCAGGTGGGAGGCATCTGGCAGGTGAATCTTGGTTTTGAGGCCGTGGAGAGAGGGCTGGCCACCTCTAGGGCAGACCACTTCTGCATTCTGGAGTTAGGAGTGGGGGTGGCCTCAGTGCAGGCACAACTTCGCTTGAATTTTTTTTGTCCATTGTTCAGTGTTTGTTCGTTGCTGCTGGAAGAAGATACTGGGGTGACCCAGGAAACTGAAGTGGTTGAATATCCAAGAGTCAAGGATAAAGGCAATTATTACTCCCCCGATTCACACACCTCTTTGATTATGGTGTGATTATGGTGGTACCAGCAAGCTGAGATAGGCATTTAATGTTTGGAAATCCTGCTAAGCCAACTGCCCAGGGACTGTGGTTTTATTTGTGAATTATTTGGACAATTGTCCAGTTGAAAGGGAACTGACAGGAGCTTTATAACAATTTTACAAAGCTCGTTCTAAGATTAAGCTATTGAACCTATACTTCCTATTAGTGCTTAATTTTCCAAGTATTACTGATTCTTATTTTTGTGAATCAAGTCCTTGGAAAGGCCGACACACTTGAATGAAATAGTGGTCACAATGGGAAAATTCTCAGATGCTACCCCTGTGGTAGGTTCTCTTAATTTTATTGTGGTATAAATGGAATAGCAGGTGTTCTCAGGTATAAGGCTTGTAGTTTGCCAATACATTCATTACCAAAGCTTTAGATTCCCATCAAGTTAGTGGGGGTTTTGTTACTTTTTTTTTTCAGGAAAATATTTCCATTTAAAATTTTTGTAACAAGAAATAGATTCTCCATTTACTTAAAAATCATTTTGCCATGTTAGAAGATGCTTTTTTGGAAGAAGACATCTGGGAATACAAATCTAAAAGAAAACCAAAACCAGTACATACAAATAATTGCTCTGAGACTATTCCAAAATCTGTTGAAAAAGCAACAGATGGAAAATACCAGTCGAAACGAAACAGAAATAAAAAAAGAACCGCAGAAGCTGAAGAGAAGACAAAGGACCCCGAAATGTGCCTTGGAGAAACAGCTAGTCAGACTTCTGTAGCTTCTAGTCAGAATTCTAGTTGCGGAGATGGTATTCCCCAGTCCGAAGACAAGGAGATGGCTTCAGGAAAGCATTGCAGGACTCGCAAAAACAAACAAGTATCTCCAAAGATACGTCCAGTTTATGATGGATACTGCCCAAACTGCCAGATGCCTTTCTCCTCATTGCTAGGTCAAACACCTCGATGGCATGTTTTTGAGTGTTTGGATTCTCCATCAGTCTCTGAAACAGGTAAGATGACAAAAAAGGAAGTGGTCTTTAAATAGTCTAAAAAGCCTGCATTAGGCCAGACGAATCAGTCCGATCAGTAAAATGAAAGGGAGATGAGACACTGAAGTATAAATGTCTTACCCTAGAAGGAAACAAGGAAACCATTCTTGAGAAGGGTAAAGAGATCATAGTCAATGGTATAATTGTAAAGAATGTTGCAAACTTGAAAACAGTTGAATTGCATTTTATTATTTCATAGAAGTTCCTAAACATCTCAATGATTTTTCATAAGTGTTAATTGAGCACATACTATGCTAGATACTTTCACTGTTTACTTACTTGACTCTCAATGACAGCAAAAGATAAGTGGTATTGACGTTTTACAGATGAGCATTCTTAAAAGCTAAACTGCCCATTTGTTATCTTTTGCGAAACAGAAATTTAGGGAATTATGCATATAGTTGAGTCTTCTAAATGTTGGATTTATCATGCTATTGTACAGGAAGAAGATCTGGGAAGGAGTCTTAGGTTTTTAAGATTCGAATTAAAAATGTGCCAAATGATAACTGAAGTAATATTATGCTTTATTATCTTTTAAGATATATAATGTCATGTTTAATGTGTAGGTAGTTCTACTTGGAGTATATGAAAAATGGGTTGTTATGATGATTTCTGTATTTCAAAGTTATAAATACCATATGTGGATTTTTAAATCTCAAAAGAATTAAAATTCAGCAAAATAAAAATACTACTCAGTATGGCTTTCATGTTATGTATGATTCAGAAGACATTATTATTAACCTCTAGTTATTTTAAAGTACTGCATAAAGATGCAAAAGAACTTTAAAAAAATTTTGGCATTAGCTTTTTTTTATAAAGCGAAAATCTCATCAAAGGCTGCTAATTTGCTTTTAAGTGGCTTGAAAATCAGAAATGGAAGTTGGAGTCTCACGGTGAGCAGCTCAGGGTGAAATGTCTTATGATGAAGCCACCTCAAAGAGATTTTTCTTTTGGTTTTTCACTAAACTCCTTTGAATAGAATTTCATATAGACTCTTCTTGAGTTGAATTCTGTGCCACAACAAATACTTTTATGAGGTGGTTTTAAATTACATTAAGCAACGAGGCCTTCTAATTTATTGTAATATCATTTTTAGGAGGGAGAGTGGGTCATTTTTTGATAAAGCTGGAAATTGGGGCACCTGGCTGGCTCAGCCGGAAGAGCATGTGACTCTTGATCTTGGGGTCATGAGTTCGAGCCCCACATTGGGCGTAGAGATTGCTTAAATAAAACTTAAAAAAAAAACAAACCTGGAAATTAACATACAAGGGTATATGCCAAGATAGTTTACAGACTTTCTCAATTATAATGTATGACGGGGAATAGTTTCCAGATTATTATTAAAGCCTTATTATTAACCAGTTTATCAAATTGAATTTCAAATCTTAGAATTTAAACTATTCAGTGTATGAACAGCTATAACTAATTAAGCTTGTTATTACTCTTATTGTATACAGTAAATATTAAATAAGGGACCCTAATTGGGTACTCTAATTGTCACAAATCCATATTACTTAATAAGATAAAAATTGGGGTAGAACTTTAGTTCTCGGAGAGACACACTAGTCTTTTTCACTCTTTATTGCCAGAGCAATAGTGAACTAGTGAACACCTATAAATACCTTGTGTAAACATGAACTGTAGTTTGAAGGGACTCATATTTGTGAGAGTTACTTAGGGGGGAAAGGTTTTAGTCTTACAAAAATTTTGGGAAAAAAAGATTATTTGAAAAGAAATTTAAAGTTTCTTTAAATTAAATTTAAAGAAATTTGATTTAAAAATAATAACTAGCACATTGCAAAACCATACTGGATTATTATTATTTTATGCTGGATCTTTTGATTGTGTAAAGATAGTTATGGTCCTAAGGCCTCAAAGTAGGACTGATGACTTTCCACTTAGGTTTTAACACTGTCTGTGCTTTGATCCTGCATTACTTTTTAAAAATTTTCAGAGTGTCCTGATGGTCTTCTGTGCACCTCAACAATTCCTTCTCACTTCAAGAGATACACTCACCTCCTGCTTGCTCAGAGCAGGGCAGGCAATAGTCCTTTCAGCAGCCCACCACGTGGGCCAGGGGATTGCTTCAGTGAGACTAATTCAGGCTTTCTCTGTGGCCTTGAGGAAAGATGGTCTCTGCATCAGAAGCCAATGGAAAACTTAATTGTTTCAACTTACCCCTCGTTTGTGACACCGTATCTAAAGAAATCTGAGTCTCCAACTGAAACCAATGAAAAGATTTCTTCTTCTTCAACAAATATCCAACCGTCCCAACAAAACGTACAATTTCCAGAATGTGTTAATGATGACAAACTGGTGGGAGTCAGTTTGCCTCTTGCTGAAGAGCTAGACAGCCAAAGCAACTCAGAACACATACACTCTCCATTGCCAGAAAATGACTTTAGTAGCTGTGAAATCTCTTATTCTCCACTTCAAACTGATGAGGAAACTTACAGTATGGATGAAAAGCTGGGTGATTTGCAGCAGGAGCTATTCTTTACGGAGAGCTCTAAAGATGGCAGCCTGGAAGAAGACGACAACAGCTCCACTTTGTTTCAAAAACTCCATGGTCCGTTCCTGAAGGACCAGCAGGAGAATGGCCCCCACGTGGATGGCTTCTTAACTCAGGATAAATACCAAGAAGTATTGTGTAAATACAACGCTCTCACTGGTTCATCTCAACTTTTTTTCCAAAATAAGGGTGTTATTCTGTGTGATGATCCAGCACATAGTGGTAATGATTTTGCACTGTTTCCATCTGCATCAGCACAAGGGCTTATTTCTAGTTATCAGGCCACTAAAGCGAAACCTGGTAAGCCAGAATGTCACCCATCTCAATCAAATAAACAGAAACAGGCAATTGAAGAATCAGCTGTTTGCAATCAGATTTCTCTTCCGTCACTTACTAGTGAGATGCCAAGAGCTTTCACAAGGCAGGGAGAAGGGGATCTTTCTTTCCATCCAACCCAAAGTAAAGTTAGAAAATCATCA